ATATATTAAAAAAAAAAAAAAAGAAAGAAAAAAGAAATGGGCAAAGGACTTAAATAGACAGTTCTCCAAAGAGGACATACGGATGGCCAAGAGACAAATGAGAAAATGCTCGATGTTGCTAATCATCAGAGAGATGCAAATTAAAACCACAATGAGATATCACTTCACACCTGTCAGAATGCAGGCACCCTCTTAAAGAGCCAACACACAAAGTTTCGTGTGCAGCCACTCACTTTGGGCTCCGGCAGAGGGAGGGCAGAGTGGACTGGAGCTGTGTGGGTGAAGCACGTAACTCTCATTTTTCAATCATGAAGCATGTAACCCTCATTTTTATTTTTATTTTATTATTATTATTATTATTTTTAAATATATCTTTATTGATTTCAGAGAGAGGAAAGGAGAGGGAGAGACAGAGATAGAAACATCAATGATGAGAGAGTCATTGATCGAGCCCGCAACCGGGCATGTGCCCTGACCGGGAATCGAACCCCGATTGTCTGGATCCCAGGTCGACGCTCAACCATTGAGCCACACCCGGCCAGGCAACCCTCATTTTTAATCTGTCAATCCTGTTCCATATCCCTGAACACACAGTTACAGGCTAGTGCCAAGAAATAGCCAACTGTAATAGTTAAACAATGCTTGTTTTGGCTTCTGTACATTGCTTTGCAAGGTTCCCACCCCTCTCCATGCCAACGAGGATACAGGTTTGCCTTTATAGTCTCCCTGTGAAGACTGTTTGGGGCTTCGAGTCTGTTTAGGGCATGAGCCCACTTGTAGCCACTGGCTAAATAAATTCCAAACGCTCAATTTGGTCTCTGTGAATTAATCTCACGAAAGCTGGGTATAACATTTGGAGGCCCCAGCGAGATTAATTCTAATTTTTTCCAGGCTGTTGGGCCTCTGTGACTGACCTGCTGGGAGACTTTCCATTGTAGGGGGGTATCCCCTGATAATGTTCCAGGGCCCCGCGATCAGAACTTCTCCCTTGTGGGTCAAAAGCTGATGCTTTTTGGCCATCTATCAGTTTGGAATCTCTCAGGACACATCCGGAGGTAAGAAATAATTTTAAATTATTTCCTGGTTAGACTAGTCTCTGGATTCTCACCAGTTAGGGCCAGACGTGGCTGTTCTAATTGTGCGGGGTCCCTCCTTGGGTTGGGATGTCAATGGAGGGATTTACCTGGTTCTGGAAATCTGTTTAAGGGGGAGACTGATCACCTCCCCGGACCTGTAGAGGTCCCAGTTAGGTTTTGTTGGGTGGGAATGTGATAACCTCTCAATGAATGTCATGTGAATTTGCCTGTAATCCCATGGCTTTTGTTACGGGACTTGAGTGGGCCCTAGTCTGCTTCCATAGTCGGCTGCAATTACATAACAACATAACAGTGACTCAGCTTTAGCTGACCAGGCCCCGGGGGTTATATGGATGCACCTTAGTCAAGGCCGAACTAAGTCGCCGGGAGGCAGCAAATGGACAGGCATCAGATTGGGTCCCTTCAGGGGCTTTCTTTCCCTTTGTCTGTCCTCTACACCGACCACAAAAGACACACGGGGTAAAGGAGTACAATCCAGTTTAGTTCATACTGCCCAGATTGAATGTCTCGTCTCCTATTCCGGGACTTTTTGTTTCATTTAATGTCATTTGTCTCAGGTATATTAGAGGATATTTCTTGGTTTGGCCCTACTTCATTCTCTGTTGAATCTATCTTCTCCTGGATCACAGACTTAGTATTCCAGGGCAGCCTCAGTCTCTACCCTCCATTTGAGACTCAATTCTTTACCTTCCTTCTAACCCTCTGTCTTACACTCCCTCCCTCCTAATCTGTTCTCCCATTCACAGGACGATGAGACTCGGCCTTAGCTTCCTTCTAGATGACATCAAGAATCCTTCTCATTCTCTTTCCCCGGGCTGCACTAATTGTTTCACTCAGTTTCACCATGGATGGAGGAGTCTCAAAGACTAACACTCCTCTTAAATGAATGTTAGATCATCGGGAGGAAGCCAGATTTGGTGCTGGAGGATATGGGGATCCCCTTTCAAAGGGTGTTGTCAGAACACTCTGTGAGTTAGAATGGCTAGCCTTTGGAGTAGGGTGGCCTGATATTGGCTCCTTTGACCCTAGGACAACAAAGCAGGTTTGGAATGCCGTGAGAGGTCATCCAAGCCATCGGGACCAGTTTCCGTATATTGACATTTGGCTATATCTGACCCAGAATCCACCTCCTTGGTTCAGAAAGTGTGCCAAGGACATGGGTATAAAAATTTTAGTCACACAAACTCCTTTTCAAAAGACAAAATCAAAGAAAGAAAAGTCTCCCCCTATCCTCGAAGACCCTGAGCCAGAAAACCCTCCACCCTCTAACCTGTGGCACCCCTCTCTCCGGCCTCTACCTTCCTCCTCAACCAACCCCTCGGCACCACCATCACCTTTCTCACCTCCTCAGACCGGTAGCTCCACATTAAGGGCCATGCAGGAGACACCTTCTTCCTCCAGCACTGTCTTTTTAAGGGAAGCCCCTCTGGCTGATGGGGATACAAGAGGGAGGTCTCCTTTCTTAGTCTATGTCCCGCTCCCATCTAGTGATTTATACAACTGGAAAGTCCAGAATCCCCCATTTTCAGAGAAACCACAGGCCCTCATTGGACTCCTAGAGTCCATCTTTTATACCCACCATCCCACATGGAATGACTGCCAGCAGCTTATGGTTACCCTCTTCACCTCAGAGGAATGCAAAAGAATTAAGCAGAAGGCCCAGAAGGCCATCCTAGGTCCTGGGGGAGGTTCCCTAGAAGAAAATAGGGACTGAGTAGAACAATCTTTTTCTGCAAACAGTCCAGAGTGGGACCCCAATACCTCCGCAGGAAGGGATGCATTGAACAATTTTCACCGGTACCTCCTAGCAGGCCTAAAAGGGGCTCCTAGAAAACCAATTAACCTATCCAAAATAACTGCAGTTTCCCAAGGCCCCCAGGAATCGCCCATGGTGTTCCTGGAGAGGTTACAGGAAGCCTAGTAAGTCTACACTCCAATAGATCCTGCCACCCCAGAGAATAGCAGGGCAATCAATCTAGCTTTTGTCATGCAATCAGCACCTGATATTAGGAGGAAATTACAAAAATTAGAAGGACTTCAGGTAATGAACTTATTTCAAATAGTAGAGGTAGCTCAGAAAGTTTTTGACAATCGAGATAGCCCCTCTGAGAAAGAAGAAAAGAGACTTGTGAGAGTAGTAGTAGTGGCCCTAAAGGAGTCTAGTAATCAGAAACCAAGAGGAACTAAAGGAAGAGGGAAGCCAGGGCCTATAGGCCAGAAAAAGAGCCCTCATAGCCAAGGGAGGCCACAACTGGAGAAAAACCAGTGTGCTTATTGTAAGAAAGAGGGACACTGGAAAAATGAATGCCCAAACAAGCCAGAGAAAAACCAAAAGCCAGCAGAGATCCTAAACCTGGACACCGATTGACGGGGCCAGGGCTCCATTCCACTAAGCCCCCAGGAGCCCATGGTAACTCTTAGCATAGGGGGCAACCCAGTAGAATTCCTAATAGATACTGGAGCTACCCACTCTGTTGTCACCACTCCCCTAGGGCCCCTTTCCACCAAAGGTACAGTGGACCAAGGGGCCACTGGAAACTCCGCACAATACCTTTGGACCTCCCAATGGACTGTTGACCTAGGAAAAAGTACTTTTACCCACTCTTTTCTTGTAATCCCAGACTGTCCCTACGCACTCCTAGGAAGAGACCTCCTCCGAAAACTCTGGGCCACTGTATCCTTCACAGAGGACTCAGCTACCTTAAACCTCCCAGAACAACAGGCTACCCAAATCATGGTTACTCTTCCCCTTTCTGAGGAGTATCTTCTACACAATAATTCCCCTACTCAGAGCTACAGCAATGCTACCCTAAGGCCTGGGCTGAGACAACGCCCCCAGGATTAGCTGCACATCAACCCCCAGTAGCAGTTCAGCTCCAGGCAACTGCTACACCAGTCAGGATACATCAGTATCCTATGGGTCAGGAGGCAAGGCAGGGAATAACCCCATACATCAGCCGCCTGAGGCAGGCCGGAATCCTAGTTCCTTGTCAGTCCCCATGGAACACTCCATTATTACTGATATGCAAACCTGGGATGAATGACTATTGGCCGGTACAGGACTTATGGGGAGTAAATCTTCAGGTTGAAACCGTACACCCCACTATACCCAACCTATATACCCTCCTCAGCCTCTTACCACCTAACCAGCTTCATTATTCCATCCTGGACCTCAAGGACACTTTCTTTGCTATCCCTGACTTGCTCCTGTCAGCCAACCCATCTTTTCTTTTGAGTGGTTAGACCCTGTTACCAAATTCTCTGGCCAGCTTACTTGGACACGGCTACCCCAGGGGTTCAAAAATTCCCCTATGTTATTTGACGAGGCACTAAGCCAGGACCTCGCTTACTTTCGGCAGAACCGTTCTTCCTGTATCCTACTACAGTATTTAGATGATCTACTCCTAGCTGCGGACTCAGAAAAAGAGTGCAAAACAGCCATGGAGGATCTGCTACAACACCTAAAGACTCTTGGATATTGCGTCTCAGCCAAGAAGGCCCAACTCTGCACCATGTCAGTAATGTACCTTGGCTACCAGCTCCAGGGAAGTAAGCAAACTCTTTCAGACAGCTGAAAGCAAGCCACCACCAGATGACAGGTACGGGAATTCTTAGGAGCTATCGGGTATTACTGATTCTGGATTCCTGGGTTTGAAGAGTTAGCAAAACCCCTTTATACCCTAACTGGAGGGGGAGAGCCCCTAGACTGGACTGAAACTGAACAAAAGGTTTTTGAAAACCTAAAGCAAGCCTTTATATCAGCATCGGCCTTGGCCCTACCAGATTTATCTAAACCATTTCACTTGTTCATTCATGAGTCAAAATGAATTGCTAAAGGGGTCTTAATGCAGACTCTAGGACCATAGAGAAGGCCTGTTGCTTACCTTTCAAAGAAACTCAATCCTCAAGCATCAGGATGGGCGGCTTGCTTAAGGGCAATAGCGGCTAAAGCTATTCTAGTTAAGGAGGCTGATAAACTAACTCTTGGGCAACAACTCACCCTCACCACCCTACATGCAGTTGACACTTCTAAGAGGAAACCCCAAGAAATGGATATCCAACTCATGGGTAGCCCAGTACCAGGCTCTCCTTGATCAGCTGTGCATTACCTTCAGTAAGACACAGGCCCTGAACTCAGCGACCCTGATGCCTGATGATGATCCTGCACTCCTGATACACAACTGTGAGGACCTCCTAGATTTGGCTCAGCTGTCCAGGCCAGATCTTACAGATGTACCACTCACCAATCCTGACATAGAATTATATACAGATGGGAGCAGTTTTATAGAAAAGGGAATTTGGTATGCCGGGGCTGCTGTAGTCACATTGGAAGAAACCATCTGGGCCCAGTCTCTACCTTGTGGCACCTTGACCCAAAAAGCCAAATCAATTGCCCTAATGCAGGCACTCAGGTGGGCAAAGGACAAAACTGTCAATATATACACAGACAGTGGGTATGCCTTTGCTACAGCCCACGTCCATGCTAATATTTACAAGGAAAGAGGACTATTAACTTCAGGGGGAAAAGAAATTAAAAACAAGGCTGAAATTCTAGTCCTCCTAGAAGCTATATGGCTCCCTAAAAGATTAGCCTTAATACACTGCCCAGGGCATCAGAAAGGACAATCCAAAGAAGCAAGGGGAAATAGAGCTGCCAACCTGGCAGCAAAAGAAGCTGCAAAACTCCCCATCCAGTCACTAGACATCCTTCTAACCTTACTAGACCTGGTCCTACCCTAATCCCCTCATTATTCTCCAAAGGAAGTAACACTAGCTACAACTAGGCAGGCCACTAAAGATAGAGAGGAATGGTTTCACCTACCTTCAGGCCAGGTATTTCTACCAGAAGCTCTAGGGAAAACACTTGTATCCCAATTACACCAAAGCTCTCATCTAGGGCAGTCCAAGCTATCAGAGCTCCTCAAAGACATATACTTCTTTTCTAACCAGAAGTCCATAATTGAGCCTACCACTTCTAGGTGCCTAGCCTGCACTCAAGTCAACGCTAGACCAGAAAAGCTTCCTCATTTAGGAATATGGGCATGAGGATCCACACCAGGAGAACACTGGGAGCTTGACTTCACCGAAGTCAAACCCTGTCAGCCAGGAATAATTACCTCCTAGTACTCATAGACACCTTTTCAAGCTGGGTTGAGGCTTTCCCCACCCGAAATGAAAGCACCATCACAGTAGTCTGGAAACTCCTATCCAAAATAATTCCTAGATTTGGCTTACTCTTTTCCCTAGGGTCAGCCAATGGACCAGCCTTCACGGCCCAAATATCCCAATTCATAACAAAGGCCTTACACATTAATTGGAAACTCCACTGCTTCTACCGACCTCAGAGCTCAGGGCAGGTTAAATGCATGAATAGGACTCTAAAGGAAACCCTAAATAAGCTCATTTTAGAAACTGGTGAAAATTGGACCAATCTTCTACCCCTAGCTCTCTTACAAGTTAGATGTACTCCTTACAAAGTGGGCTTCACCCCCTTCAAAATTATGTTTGGGAGACTGCCCCCTCTTCTCCCTAGGCTACAGGCAGAGCCGTTAGCCAAAATCTGTAACACCTCTCTACTCAAGTTTCTCCAATCCTTACAGGATACACAGACTAAAGTACATTGTCAAGTTCACCAGATCCTCCCCCTACCTTCCTTGGATCCTGTACACCCATTCCAGCTCGGGGACTCGGTGTGGGTCAAAACTCACCTACCTGGAAAGGGCCCTTCCTCATCATTTTAACCACACCTACAGCAGTTAAGGTCGACCGCCTCTCCACCTGGATCCATCACTCTTGCCTCAAGGCAGCAGACTCCAGATGGACATCCCAGCTGACTGGCAACCCGCTCAAGATAAGACTAAAGGGGGGGGGGTTCTCCTTCTTGATATCTATAACCATCATTTGTCTCATTTGTTCCCCGGTACATACATCTGAGATATCCTATTATTGGGAAGTCAGAAATAGAATTTCGGGAGCAATTCTAGCTAACCAGAAAGACCCTAGCCCCAGCAAAAACCTCACCATTCAGATTGATCTATGTACCCTTTTCAAAAACTTCTTCCCCTCAGATACACTTAGCAGCCCACCTAGTACTCCTGGGTGTGGGCACCCCTTCCTACAGCAAAATTTACAATCTATGGATTTTTATTTATGTCCAGGGACAGACCCTAGACACCCCCAGTGCTCTGATACCTCACAGTACTTCTGCCCTAGCTGGGGTTGTGAAACTATTGCTCCCTGGAGTAAAGACAGGGACAAGTTTCTAAAACTTAGAATAACCTCAAGACCCGCCAAATGCGTGGTAGGACAATGTAACCCTCTTTCCCTCTATCCCCAGGATAGAAGCCACTCCTCTTGGCTCACAGGCCAGATGTGCGATATCCGGTTCTGTAGAACTGGTTATGATACTGGAACTCTTCTTACCATCCAGAAGAGACCAAGTCTCCAACCAAAAAGGCCCATAGTTCCCATAGCTGAGCTAAAGCTCCCTGTCCCTATTGCACAACCAAAACCTGCTACCCTAAACCATCTAAGTCAACATTATAAGGCTACTAATCCAGCACCTGCAGAAGTGCTCCTACTCTCCCTCTTGACAGCTATACACCATGTAATCCTACACACGCTGACTGTTGACTATGTCTAGCCTCTAAACCCCCTTACTATTCAGGCATAGGGGTATCTCTCTCTCTTACCCCGACTTCAGAACAGTCCAATTGCCATCAAGAGCCCCATCAACTTACATTAGGAGATATACAAGGCCTGGGATTATGCCTCCTCGCTGGAAACAGTGATATTCCCAAACCATATTCTAACCTCTGTAACACAACATTATACTTCAACTCCTCTTTCTCCTCCTCTAGACAGCATTTTCCGGGTCCAAACAATACATGGTTTGCATGCACCACAGGCTTAACTCGCTGTCTCAGTTCTGAGGAACTACAAGACCCCTGTAATCCTGTTTTCTGTTTCCTTGTATATGTCCTATCACAGGTCTCTATTTATAGTGGGTCGGAAGGGAACACCCTTATTTTTCCCCCTGAAGGTTTAACTCATTGGAAACGAGCAATCCCCCTCCTCCTGCCTATTCTAGCTGGACTTGGCATAGCCAGATCCGCAGCTATAAATTCAGCTGCCCTAGTCACCTCTGATCTCCATATTTGCGAACTCACAGAACAGGTTAATACAGATCTTATCCACTTAGAAGCCTCAATATCTGCCCTTAATGAACAGGTAGAATCCTTAGCAGAAGTAGTCCTCCAAAATCACAGGGGTTTAGACCTCCTTTTCCTACAGCAAGGAGGCCTCTGTGCTGCCTTAGGGGAAACCTGTTGCTTCTATGCCAACAACACTGGTATCATCCAGAAATCTCTATCCCTTGTATGGAAAAATACTAAGGAAAGCAGAAGGCAGCTCAAGAGCTCGCAAAATTGGTATCATCGTATATTTAACTGGTCCCCTTGGCTCACAACCCTCTTATCTGCAATAGCTGGACCCCTAGTCCTCCTCATACTTGCCCTTATCATAGGTCCCTGCCTCCTTAATTGCCTGGCTTCTTTTGTTAAAGATAGAATCAACTCTGTAAAATTAATGATTCTTAGAACCGAATATAATTCTCTACCCTCCAAGGAAGAATCAAGGATTTCATTCTCATCATAATTTACAAACAGGAGTGGGGGATGAAGCATGTAACCCTCATTTTTCAATCATGAAGCATGTAACCCTCATTTTAAATCTGTCAACCCTGTTCCATATCCCTGAACACACAGTTACAGGCTAGTGCCAGGAAATAGGCAACCGTAACAGTTAAACGATGCTTGTTTTGGCTTCTGTACATTGCTTTGCAAGGTTCCCACCCCTCTCCATGCCAACCAGGATACAGTTTTGCCTTTATATTCTCCCTGTGAAGACTGTTTGGGGCTTCGAGTCTGTTTAGGGCATTAGCCCACTCGTAGCCACTAGCTGAATAAATTCCAAACACTCAATTTGGTCTCTGTGAATCAATCTCATGAAAACTGGGTATTAACATGGGGAGAGTCTGCAGATGTGGGCTCTGGAGAATGAGATCAGAGGGCGACGGTCTGGATTCCTGTGCCGAGTCATTCCCCCATATGGTGGAGGATGTCTTTCTCAGGCATACAGTTTGTTGCTTTTGCCTGAGGGGGGAAGCAATTGCCCCAACCTACTGGAAAACCTCTCACCCTACCCAAGAGTTTCTACAGCCTGAGGCTTGTTAAAAGGCTAATATCAACTAGCTGCCCCATCCTGTGGAATTTCTACAGCCTGAGACTCATTAAAAGAATCAGATTAATCAGCCTGCAGGCAGAGACAGACCTCAGGGTGCTTTGAGTCTTTGCCTGATCTACTTCTGCACCTGGGTCTTGGAAAAGCAGACTTCGGTGTGCATCTTTGTCCTGTCCAAATGCACCCAGCCCCAGCAGAGGAGACCTCAAGCCTAAGGTTGTTGATAGCTCCAAACAGGGTATTCAGGGCCAGCCACAAACTGCATATGATATT